CACCCGGTTTGGACCAGCCGCGTATCACGTGTCTTCCACTCCCCAGGAAAATCTGCGTCCTTTTGCAGCTACTACATCACCTGCCAGACGCAGCTAGAGGGGAGTCGAAAGAAAACCCTTGGAGAAAGAAAACAAAACCACAAATGTAAATCAGGTGCTGCCGTGCACATGTACAATGACCAGAGAAATCACAGCAAAGGACAAACGTCACAACTGCCCCCCAGAACTCCCACCTCCTACGTACTAGCTGCCTGACACCCATGTCATCCTTTTCATTTTTCCTACATTTTCGGCTGTACACTCCTTGAGGACTCTCCATTTAACATGGTCTTGCGAAGCATCTCCTGCACGGAATAGAGAAATGAACCAATAGCCTGGTGCTTCTCACTTGCTCATTCTTTTTCTTTATTAATCTATAGTTCAGGAAGGTTTCTGTCAGCTTCCCACGTTCTTGGGAAAGCCGTGTACCCTGTGAGGAGGGTGGTCACACTTGGAGAAACCTCAGGAGGGTTTTCACACGTGAGCTTTGGTGTTTCAGGGCACACGTGCCGCGTGCAGCCCTTGGTAAGCAGTTCATGCCAAATAAGCAGAGAATGGAAATATTTTCCCAGGAGTTGATGTGACTATAAGATAGCAATGTATTGGGGGTGATGAAGGACTTTATACATGTAGTCTATAGTCCTGTTGATTTTGTGACCTATGGAGTGGGAATTTGAATTTATTCCAGTCCAAGCAATTATACATACCTCCCCAGATATACATAGATATTTCTATATGTTCTTTGTAATTATGAAATAGACTATATAGTGAGAGTACATCTATCTACCTATCACCTGGCTAAATATCCACCCACCCATCTGTTTGTAGAGAGTGAATACGTATCTATGGCACATTTGTAGCTGGCACACATTCAATCGCATGTGCTCAGTCGCTGAGAATCCTGATGAGGAAGAACTTCCTCCCTGGCTAGGTGTCGATGAAAGCCGATGCTCCGCTTAGAGTTTCGCCCTCGGGGTGGTGGGGAGCTTCCCCCGGACCTGCTTTGCATGCTCCCACCCTTTGATCCCGTCCACTATCTGGGTTCCTCCATGGCTGTGTGCCATGAGCCAGTCACAGCACCCAGGACCCTGGCCCGGCTCCTCGGTGTCCCCATGCCTGAGGAGTCGCCCCAGAAGGCAGGTGTGCTTCCTCAGAGCCACTCTGCACCGAGACAAGGGCTAAGTGCAGATCCACAAATATGCCTCATTAAGCCAGTGATTTCCATTAAACTTCCCTTGGTCGGATCCTAAAACTCTCTACGTCACCACACATGAAGGGAAGAATAGCAGAGCTTTTACACATTTTATTCTAAAAAACCATGAATGTGTGAACACATGGCCAGGGGCCTTCCCAGGGCTTTGGGATGAGAGGCGCGCTGGGGACCTAGAGTCTGGTGGCCTGGCAGGGCTCCCTCCAGGGATCCTCCAGCGTCCTGGCATCACTCCTGCCGGCCCTCCCCCTCCTGGGCCTGTCCTCGGCTCCCCGCACCCCCCGGACTCCGGGGGCAGCCTCCTGGGTCTGTGCCTCCTGCCCTCCTGGGGCCCTGTCTGTGCACCCATCCTGTATTTGTGCCACATCCGCCCGGCAGCTGTCTCCCTGACATCCATGTCCAGACCTCGGTCTCCTGCCACCCTTCTCTGTGCCTTGGAAAACAAGCACCGTGAAAGACAGCTCTTGCTTTGGGCCCTCACCTCTTGAGCACCCATACTGCCCTCCGCGTGCTGCAGACTGACACCCGGGAGAGGGCCTGGCCCCGGTCCGCCCAGGTCCAGAGCCACTGGGTGGCCCCCTTCCTCTCCCTCTTCGGGATGAACCCGCACTGTTGCCATGTGGCTGCAGCCCCACACTCCCCATTTCTTCTGCTTCACCTCTGGCCGGTTCCTCTCGCCCTCCTGCCCGTGTGTCTCCTCGGCTGCCCTAACGGGCTTCTCCCCAGCAGTCTGTCCTGGCACCGCCAAGCTCTGCAAGCAGCCTCGTCCACGCACTCGGCTCCGGCTGCCATCCTTCTGCCCCCCCATGCAGCGTTCCCACTCGGTCCTTCTTCTCTGCTCTCAGCCCTCATTTCTGATGGTTGACCTGGTGGTTTCACATACAGCCTGTCCGACTCAGGCGTTGAAAAGGTTCCCATCTTTTTCCTGTTGCCACCTCCCCTGCCCCCCACTAAACTAACTGTGGCTTCCGGGCTCCCCCTTTCCTGACCCAGAGACCTGGCTCCCCCTTCCTCCCCCTTAAGTCCAACATCTGAGCAGCTCCCCAGAGCCCAGGTTGCACGTCTGTGTTAGACGGGGCTCAAGGCCCAGCCCACCACCCTCTCTGGAGACCCTGCCCACAGGTGAAGCCTCACCTGCCCCTTCAGTCCTTCAGCTGATTTTGTTTGCCATATATTTGAGATCATATTGCATACCTGGTTTTTAATCTTTTTTTCTCTTACTATAATAAACTGTTTCATATCACCAAGAACCCTAAAGCATCATTTCGATGACATTCCTTCATCTATGTAGAAAACACACTGAATCATTTCCTTATTGCTGAACATTCGGATTAATTTTCATTTTCCAACCTTTAAATAACCCCAATTAAACATCGTCCTTGAAGCTACTGGGTCAAGTCTGTGCACATTTTTATCCCAGGACAGACTATATTGCTTGCTTACAATGATCACATCATCCTGGGGGTGGGGGTGTTCCCCTTGCTCCTTTTATTATTTTGTTCCTTTGTTTTCACAGACTTTCTCTGTACTGACTTCATTTGTAACTCACTTCAAAATAACTTGTGGATGTGGAGAAAGGGTGAAGTATCTACAAGGCCCACAGACCACCCTCTGCAGGGTGAGGACACCCCCTGCAACACATACACCCCCCTACTGAGGGCGGGACCTCCTCCTTCCTTCCTCTTCTTGGATGAGTCCTGTTTACGTGGGTCAACATTCCTAAAAATCACCGAGAGGAAGAACAAAACGGCAGTGGTAAGTGGGCAGATGGCAGTTATGATCAAAATAAGAAACCAATTGGAAATGCTCTTAAATATATTGAGTCACTCTTTTGTTTGTTTCTTAATTAATAGACTTTTTCTTAAAACTAGTTTTGTGTTGCAGGAATACTGAGCAGGAAATAGGGGTCCCTCATGCCCCACACCCCATCGGCTCCCGGCCTCCCCGCCAGCACGCCCTTGATGAGCCCCAGGCTGTCGCCATTTACCACCCGCTTTGCAGTGAGTTTCCTGTTCTCGCGTCTGTCTTGTCACCTAAGCACCTTCATGTAGGGACCGTCCTGGACTCTCCCGAGTCCCACATGTTGTAGAGCCCCTGCCCAGGGTGGTACCCGCACACACGGACGAGGGGCAGGAGACAGACGCTTGCCTCCACTCTGCCGGCTTTCTTACCAAAAACAGGCAGTTTCTGGCACGTCATGGCCCTCCCTGTCTCCCACCTCGTCTGTGCAAGGCCCTGGGGCCCACCCAGCTCTGCACGACCCCTTGTTTGTAAGCCAGTGGCAGTGCTTCCGAGGTGGGCCCTCCCAGCGTAAGAAAGCCGGTCTTCTTGCCACTTAAATGATACCCATTGTGTTGGTCAAACTAACCCATCAGGACCTGATCTGTCTCCTGTGCTGCTCTATCCCCAGCACCTACCGGCGTGTTTGTCCTTTACCGGGATCTCGGTAACTAAGTGCTGAATAGAGATGCTGACAAGATAAGGCTGCGTCCACACTGAAGTAGCATGTATGCAGGCCATCTGGCTTAGGACAGGAGGGTCCATCACAACTGAAGGGCTACTCAGCAAGCCTTGCCCCCAACCCCAGGGAGCTCCTGCGTTTGGAATGTCTGACAGTCCTCTAGGTGTGGAAGACAGGGCAGGCTGAGACAATGCTTGCTCTCCGGTGTGCCGTCAAGTACAGATCTGGTGCCTGGCTGCTGTGGGTGGATGAAACAGCACGTTGATTCACTAATACATGAGCTCCCCTCCCCTCTAGGCCCCAGTGAATGGGTGTGGAGGGCGAACACCCACACACACACAGATGCACGGAGAAGAAGGCAGCGGGGTGACAGGTGGCGGCACTTGCTCGCTGCCGTTCCGTGTGGTGAGGGGTGCTGGGACTCTGTGCCCTCTGCGCTGGGAACCGGGGCCCTCCGAGCCAGAGGTGGCTTCCTGCAGGCACAGCCCTGGTCCCCTGGGTCTCCTCCTGGTTGCCTCCATGTCCCCGTCTCTTCCCCACCAGAAGTCTCACCCAGGCCCTGCTGCTCAGTCTGGAAGTGGTGGCTCTGTCTGGACCAGGCTGCTGAGCCGGGGGTGGTCAGATGCAGAGTCCAGGACACGGTGAGAGTGCCCACTGCATGGCTGCTGCCCCTGGCCTGGGCAACAGGCTTCAGGGGAGCCAGGCACGTGGAGTCCACCCATCTAGGAGACACCCTGGAAGCCCGTCTCACCAGTACAGTCCCCGCTCAGGGGTGGTGGCTCTGCAAAGTGTCCCGCTGAGCTAGCTTCTGGGTCTCCCGCCATGAGACGCTGGGGTGGGGATGGAGGTCCCTGTGATCACAGCGGGGGCGGAGCTCTTGCTCACGGTGGCAGCCGGCAAAGCCGGGGAGGAGCCAGGGAGGCCGCTAGGGTTTAGAGACACTTTTGTGAAAGGGGCTTTGAGGCACCTGCCCATCTTGTCGGGATTGTGGGGGGATCAGTGCTGCAGGGGCCTGGGGACGTTGCACTGTGTATCACTAGCATGATTTCCCCTCCCGGCCCCCAGAAGGAAGCCTACCCTGAGTAGGTATTTTACCCTTTAAGGCTCTGGAGTCAGGTCTTCCTTTCAGATGTGTAACCAGACCGAGATGGGCCTTAAAGCAGGTGGGAGGAAAACAGACTTACTTGGGTTTCTTGATAACTTGGAACTGATCTATGCCTGATCTTGGTGCTGAACAGGAAAAAACCGAATATGAAAAATTTACAGTGAATCTGCATCTATTTGCTTAATTCTATCAGATTACAAATTAGTTGAGTGCGTATTTTATGGCTCAAGTTTGTCTCTAGCTAGAATTTAAATATGAAGTTGGAGGAATTTCCAGTAGAATCCTGTCCTTTTTGTTCATGTTCATCTCCAGTGAGTCCACACATGCCAGGCAGAAAGCAGATGTTGCGTGTACATTTGTTTAATAAATTAGGAAATTTGTTCTCTTTTCCTCATCACATGTTAAGGTATGAATCTCACTGGTTTCCCTTTTCAGACAGTTGTTTTAGTAGAGTTTTCAGTAGCAGAAGTTCTCATTCATACCCCGAGGAGGGCACCCAGGCACTGCAGGGCGGCGGGCGCAAAGGCGGCTCTCCCATCTCCCCGTCCTCCTGTTCCCTTCCCTCCGTCTTGTCTCTCCATGTCTCTCCTTCTCTCTCTGTGTCTCTGTCTCTGTGTCCCTCTAGTGAGACACCGGAGGATGGACGTGGTGGCCCATCCCTGCACTGTGGGGCCTTGTGGCTGAGGAGGCCCTGGGCTGGTAGCATGACCGGGGCTGGAGGAAGCCTTACCCAGCGTGGGGGGCCCTCCTGCCTTCCCCACCCCAGGGCCTGGCTGGCCCGGGCTCAGGCAGGCTGCCCGTGGGCACTCTGAGGCCTTGTCACCAGGCGTGGGGCAGACCCGCGTCGTGGATCTGGGGGCGGCAGGAAACGCCTTTCCGGAGCCCGGTTGCCTGGCGCAGATCCAAGAACATGGCCGGTCACCATCCGGGGGGCAGGCCTGGCCCACCGTGGGCTCAGCAGGCATTGGTTTTCTTCCTCCTGATGCCGTGACCCCCTCTGTGATGAAGATCAGTGATGAAAAGGCGTTGAGCCGTGCCACCGGGCGCTCTGGCAGGGGCGCGGGAGCGGGGAGCCCAGCTGCCATCACTGCCGTGGGCCTGAGAACGAGAGAGCGGAGCAAACACGTGAGCGCTTTGTGTCCCATCAGTGCCTCTCGGCATGGAGCAGCCGCGCTTCCGGGTGCCCCTCACCTGTGTGAACAGCCACCTGAGGGCAGGGGCGGGGGGCTGCGCCCGGGAGCCGCTTCCCTGTCACATGGCCACAGGGGGGGTCTGAGGCCCTTCCTTCTGTATCTTTCTGCAGAAGTGTGACCCAGGGATGCCCAGGTCCTTGGGAAGGGTCCTGGCAGCCAGCTTTGTCTGCCTCGTAAGGCAAGTGTACCCAACAGTTACAGGCTGAAATAGGCGATGAGCAGAGACACCCACAGTGCCTTGCACACGCTGGGGTCCCCCACGCTGCCTGGCCTTGCCCCCCAAGTTCAGGGCAGCATATTAGGGTGGGGACAGGAAGCTTCCACTGAGCCTTGCAGCCCAGCTCCTGCAAAGGAGAAGCACCGAGGTGACGGGCCTTCTGAGTGCCAAGTGCCCTTCCTCAGGAAGTGGGTCCTGGATTCCCAGCAGCATCCAGCATGGTTGAGTCCTCCCTCCCGTGGCCATGAGCCCAGCGGACAGGCAGAGTGGGGCGGGGCGTTCCTGAGGGTCCCCCACTTGCATCTAGCGATGGAATCCACGGTCCCGCCCACGCACAACCATCCAGAAAGGAGAAGCCGAGTGGGCGAGGAGACTGGTTTGCACGCTTCCTGAAGGCCTTTCTCCGCTTCAGAATCAGCCTCCGCTCACCTGGGCCACGCAGCAGGCCACAGATTAACACCTCCGATGGATGCCTCCTGCCCACCGGAGGCAGGAGCGCCAACCACAGCAGGCCCCGACCTAGGGCACAGCCCACTGCCTCCCTGTCACTACAACTGTGGCGCCAGCTCATTTCCTCACCTTTTCACGGTTATTAAGCCACAGACGAAGCCGTGACCTTGGCCCTGCGCCCAGGCTCCTTGATCTCCCCTGTCGGTTAGTCTGACTGTGTCACTTAGACTATTCCTCTAATCAAAACTCTTCAGTAGCCTCCCGTGGGCTGGATTAGCCAACACAGAGCGATCCGGATTCACCTGCCCGCCCCGAGTGATGGGCGGACGCTTCCTGAGGCCCATAGACACCCTGTCCAGGGTGGTCGGCCAGGACAGGTGCTGCGGCCCATGGCGGAGCTTCCCCGGGGCTAGACGAGTGTGTCCAGGGTCCCCCGGCCCTGACCTGGTGCCTGAAATGTGACCTCAAGCCCAGTCTCTATGGTTTCCACATTCAGACTTGACTCTCTGCTAGGCCCTCACCTGCACATGTGCAGTGCTTCTCGTGTGTCTCTGACTATGACATCCCCTGCTTCCTTCCTCCAGCGATGCCATCCCGACCCCCACATCTCTCAAACCCTCCTCAGGGCATGAGACGGAGGCATCCTTCCAGGGCTACAAGTCACCACTGGATAGATGAGTGGGTGGAGGGATGGGGGGATGGAGGGAGGGGTGGTAGGGAGACGGGGGAGAAAGTTCTTTTCCATCTCTTTCCTGATCTGAAAGAGGCTTCCCAGAGCTGAGCGGGACAGGGGCTATCGAAAGCTGGGCAGCTGCCCGGGAGGAGGTCGCAGGTCTCCTGGGAGGTGAAACAGGTCTCTCCTCAGAAGACCTTTCATTCTCCCAATTCAAAAAAAGGTTCACAATCTTTCATATGTCACTCCCACCACTTGCCATTTCTCAATACTCTGCCAACTGGCTCCCCTTCCAACCTCTCCCTGAAGCGAATATGCTAAGAAGACATTCCCAGCACTGCCGTGTTCCCAGCATCTGGTTCTTGTTGGCCCCTGTAGCAGCCTAGAGCCCGCGGTGGGGATGGGGAGATTAGGTGACCCTCAGGAGAGCCTAGGAGAACCTGCTTACCCAGTACCTCCTTCACGGCAAGGTCAGCACCCATGCCCGGCAGGGCCCTGGTACCCCAGAGCTCAGAGCCCTCAGGAAGAGGGTCAGCGGCCCCAGGAAGCAAGCCACCAGGAGGAGGACAGCCAAGGAAAGAGGGACGCAGCTGGGCAGGGCACAGAGATGAGCTGGCGCCACGATGGCCGTGGGCCAGATGCAGCCACACAGCTGCTCCCAAGCAAGCCTCCCTGAATCGTGACTGGTGGGAATCCTAGAAAAGACGTTCCTGGACCACATGAGTGGAATGTGAGAAGCAAGTGGACAGGAGCCGGGCAGCTGCGGGCTCCGGGGCACGTTCCAGGCGCTGCCCGGGCAGGTGTGCCCACACCAGCTGCTGCGAGGGCTCTCTCGTATGAAGCTCGTCTCCAGCTGAGACCAGTCCTGTTTACTTGGTCCCCTGCCCCATCCTTCTTCCCTCTGACCCCATCTCTTGAAAGTGATGCTCCCAATACATCAAGTGATCTCGAGTCCTCATCCCCAGTGCTGCCTCTAAGGAAGCTATGAAAATTTTACAGACTCTGCATTTAAGGGATTTCTTAGAATGCATTTTGAGGGTTTGAGAATCTCACATCTCAATGCTCCTACAAAGCTCTCCTGATGCCAGAAAGGTGAACAGCTGAGCTATTAGCCCCCCACTATGCAGTAGCTGTAGACACTCTCAGCCTGTTCTCCCACTACTGGGTCTAAAATTAGGACCGTGGAGTATGATTATGAACCTTTGACACTATTAGCATTAATATTCAAAATGTATTTCCATCCAATCTGCAAAGTGATCTGAATTGCCCTGTGAAAGTAGAGCCTGTCATTCTTGGAAGATGGCTATGTGCAGCTAATGTCCCCAGGGCATAAACCCGGGCAGCTTTGCTATTTACATAAATATTGGCATATGTCCACCACTTTCCTGTTAGCCACAATTAACCACATGGTGAACTCAGATCAGTGTCTCTGGAGCTGCATCCTGGTTTACAAAAACAGCACTCACATCGGGCCCTTTCCAAACCCATTATAAACATACTCACGGAAAATGCAGGCAGAGTTCCAGCAGCAGCGTCCTGGAAGGTCTATGTTGTCCCATGGGGCTTCTATCCAGTGGGACACCAAAATGACCCAGCGTTGGCCACAATCCTGGTCCCAGGAAGGGCTGGTGAGGAATTCAGACCTGAGGTTTCATTACAGAGCCCAACCAGGTAGAGCTGACTTCAGTTGTGCCAAGGAGCAGCCCTCCCCGGGGACCACCCTGGCTCTCAGTTTGTCATTAGAGAGATGCTGTCCTCCGTGGCAGCACAGGCCTCTTGCATATCTCCATCCCTTGGTGCAGCTGTCATTTTCCTTTGAAGGTTGGGGATCAGGCCCATAATAGATTGTTATGGCCTCAGAAGCCCCTTTCTTCATTCATTTGCCATCATTCAGTCAAACACAGCTGGGTTTTGTTGGGACAGGTGTGAAAAAGGTTTCCCCCACTTTCTGTTGGGCTTATGAATGCAGACTTTTGGACTGAAAGGTCATGACTAATCCACGTATACAAGTACTTCATTGACCAGGATAGAGCATCTATTGGGATACACTAATCTACAAGTAAAAGAAAACCCAAATAATGTCTTAAATGATAGGGGCATTTGCTTAAAAAGAAACCAGGAGTTATCAGACCCCAAGCTAGGTTTGGTGACTTTCTGTTCCTTTACTTCACTTCTTGTCATGTTATTTCTTTTCCTGAAGCATTTCACTTCGTGATCCCCCAAATGGCTGCCAAAGCTCCTGCCATCACATCTCCATAATAATATCCAAAAAAAAAGAAGGGAAGTGGTAAAGGACCAACTAATGGTAGCTATTTAATATAGCAAGAAGGTACATAAAAATTAATTCAAAATGGATCATAGATCTATGGAAAATGAAAAACTATAAAACTTCTAGAAGAAAATATGAGATAAAATCTTGATCTAGTCTTAGGCAAAGACTTATTAGGCATGATAACAAAGACACAGTCATTAAAAATTTAATAAATTAAGCTTCATCAAAAATAAAAACCTTAGCTCTGTGAAGAGAATGAAAAGTAAAACCACTGTGAACAGACACTGTCAAGAGAATGAAAAAATGAGCCACAGACTGGGAGAAAATATTTTCAGATCATATATCTGAGAAGACTTCTATGTAGAATATATGGAGAATTCTCTGAACACAATACTCCTCCAATTAGAAGATTGGCAAAGACTCAACAGACAATCCACCAGAGACTGATGCTTGACCTTTCTTCAGAGAATTAGATGTTGAGTAAACAAGTGAAAAGATGTTTAGAATCATTAATCATGAATAATAGGCAAATTAGACCTAGGCTGGACTAACCTATACATCTATTAAGATGGAGAAAATAAAACAGTATTGATGGCTCGTAGAAAAACCTGTTTGCAATTGTTCACAGTGGTTTTTATCTGTAATTGCCCCATATCAGAAACAACACAAGCATTCTTCAAGAGGTGAATATGGACACATGAACTGAGGTACATTCATGTTCTGGAAAACTGTTCAGCAATAAAAAACACATGGACTGCAGATGCATGCGGAAGCTTAGGAGGACCACAGGGGCATCATGCTGAGTGTCGAACAAAAGCCAGTCTCCAATGCTTGCAGACTGTAAGCACCACTTTTAAAATATTCTACAAGTGGCAAAGTCACAGTGGTGGAGAACAGACTATGGGGGCTAGGGGTCAGCGTGAGGGGGGATGTGACGACTCGGGGAGCAAAGAGGTGTCTCTGTGGTGCTGGGATAGCTCTGCACCCTGTTACATCGATGGCAACTCGAATCTGTATAAATGGTAAGCTTTCATAGGACCGTGTGCCAAACATTTTAAAAAAGAGAGAGTCCATGAAAAACTAGTAAAATCCAAACAGTGGCTGTATCGGGTTGATTGTAAAATACCAATGCCGATATGGGGTGTGTGTGTGTGTGTGTGTATTATATTGATGCCGACCTGGTACATGTGTATATATATTATATCGATGCCAACTTGGTGTGTGTGCATATATATATATATATATATATATATACACCAATGCCAAACTGGTGTGTATGTATACATATTATATCAATGCTGACCTGGCACGTGTGTATATATATATTATTTTGATGCCCACCTGGTGTGTGTGTATATATATTATACCAATGCCAACCTGGTGTGTATATATATTATACCAATGCCCATCTTGTGTGTGTGTGTATATTACACCAATGCCCACTTGGTGTGCGTGTATATCTAGTGATGCCCACCTCCTGGCTTTGCCAACACCACATAATCATGTAATGCTCTGGCTAGGGCAAGCTGGGGGATTGGCATGTGGGAACTCGCCAATAATCTTGGCAATTTCGTGTCAGTCTTGAGCTATTGCAAAATTTAAAGCCATGTATTTAAAAAAACACTCAAAAGACTTGTACTTTTCATTTGCCAGAACTGGGGGCAAATGCCATCTTTGCCCCACCCCTGGTCGAAAGGAAGCAGTTCCTAAGGTCAGTGTGGACAGGTCCTGATATGCCCACTCGGGGTTGTGTGACAAGAAAGAGGGGCCTAGGGCAGAAAGCCGCAGAATGTGCGCAGCGGGGCCTCACGCTCTGGCTGCGGGGCCCCCGGCACAGGGGTTCCCCACCCGGAGAGCTCCGAGGGGCCTGCTCTGGGTTTGTTAAGGCCCCCTGGGCAGATCGGGTCATGCCGAGCCCATGAGGCCCACCTGAGCCACCTTATGCCTCGCTCAACGTTGACCCAACACCGTCTCGTCTGGGCAGGCATCTTTCCGGGCTGACGGTGGAGCGGTGAGTGGGGCAGACAGGAAGAGGCTGTGGTGCCCACCTCCATGAAGCCCACCTTCGACGAGAAGGCGGGCTGTGAGCCAGTCGGCCATCCTCCGATGGTCGGTGAGAGTGACAGCTGTCGGGAGACAGAGCAGGGGTGCGGCTGTGAAGTGTTAGGAAGGGTGAGGGGAGGCATCCCTGGGCAGGGCCACCTGAGAGAGACACCACAGAACGGGGCTTCCCCGAGGCAAGGAAAACGGATCCGACCACGGCTGCCATGACCACCGTAAGCCTGGGATTGGCTCGGTGCTGATGGGTGAGGAACACCAATTGATGCCAGGAGAGGTGACCTTGGAGATACCCAAAGCCGGAGTCGTGGCTACATCAGACTTTACCTTTGAAGATGAGGCCAAAATTGAGCCCAGAGTTACCTGTTCTGCCCCATTCTGGCCTTCCTGAGCTCAGATGTGACAGAAAACAAGACTTCCCAATAGGAAAAGACTACAGTGCATTTTGAGAACTGTCGGGAAAATGCAGTAGGCCGGGCAGAGTGCTTGCCCAGGAGGACCTGGCACCTGCAAGCTAGCCTCGTCTGCCACACAGTGTGGGGCCACCCTGGGGGCGAGCACAGAGCTGGCAGGGGGGTCCTCGCCTGTGTGACATCCGTGGGCTCAATGCACAGACACCACTTAGCCCACAAACGAGTGTCTACAGTGATGCAAGCGCTCGAGTGTGGGACCGAGCAGGACTTCAGAGGCCAGGGCAGCGGTGGAAAGGCGCCTGCTGGGGAGCCACAGTGGGCGCGGGCGGGGGATGGGCCCCCTGCTCAGCGTCCCCCCTGCCTGCCCTTGAGCCCTGGGAGCTTTATTTTTAGAGAAGGGGCTGCTGGGAACTGAAAGGGGAACAGACACAGGGAGTCTCACCCTCACCGAGTTCTCAGCAAGAGAAAGGTCGAGGCTGCAGAGAGCTGAGCCCCTGAACACGCGTGCGCACGTGCAGGAAATGAGCCACATCCGCAGATGTTGAAGTGCTTCTGCTGATCTTACGGATGAGCTCAGAGGCCAGGGACACTCCAGCCGTAGATAAAAGCCTCCTCGCTGAGTCAGGGGAGCCCTCTTATCCTCACCCACCTCCCACGCTGGGTACAGGGCAGCTGCCAGCCCCTTAGATCAGAAGTACGTTTGCACAGAGGGTCTACCAGCAAACGATTCTGGGCACTCCATTAGCTCCCAGGGCAGATCAATGATAGAACATAAAGAAAGGAGCCAGAAAAGCATCACTAGGTTCAAAAATAATTTCAACATACTCCTAAGTTTCAGAAACAGAACAGAAACAGAGATGTAATGGACAGATTTTTTAAAAGGGTTTAGAAGAATTTTTGGAAGGACTATTTCATTGTGGGGTAGGGAAAGATTTCTGAAAAAAAAGGCATACAGAGCAAAAATCACAGAAGGAATAGTCTGGGAAGTGTGGTAACATTCAAGTTTTACACTTTGGACACAGACGGTTCCATGAACAGAATGGAAATACAAGACACAGAGAAGGTATTTGCAATGCATGTAATCAACGTCTCAGAGAAACAAAGATCCACAAATCAATTTTTTAAAAGGCAAAACCTGAAAGACAGACAGATAACTTACCGATGAGGAGCCACAGAAGCCGTGGAGCCTCACAGTCGTGGGGTGCTGTGTGCTGGAGCGAGAAGCCACCAGTTCACTCAGTCAGAATGAATATTTGATGAGAAAGCGCTGTGACAGAGGCCGTCATCCACTGATGGAGGACAGCAAATTGTGCAACCACATTCTAGAGCAATTTAGCAAAAACTAGTAAAGTTGAACATGACCCAGAAATTGTATTTCTGAGCAAATATCCTTTAGAAAGAAACTCTTTCATATAGGCACATGGTGATACCTATCAGAATGTGTATTGTGATGTGAAAAACTGAAAACGCGATGCACTGACACACAATAGTTTAAAAAGGCAACCTGGGGCCTCAAATGCCAACATGGCTGAATCTTCAAAACAAAGCAGGGTGCTGAGGGTACAGCGTGGTGCTTACATACAATTTTAGATGTAAAAGTTGCCTGTGGGTTTACATCTATATCACGAGGCTCCCCGGACACACCCAGCTCGTGGTGCCATTATGAGGCCCCCCCTCCAGGGGACACACGGGAGGAAGCCGCTTCTCCTGGGGAGCACTGGCCCTGGAGGGACCCGCAGGTGGGGTTCTCAGGCACAGCCTGGTGGGCACCCTCATGCACACCTCATAGGAGCCTAAGAGTATGCAGGGAAAGAAATGACAAACCCAGGACCCCAGGTGCCTCTGGGAGTGGCCCTGGGGCCCTAATTATATCCACATATCCTCAATTATATAAAATCTGAAGAAATTATGCCAAGTCATAGATTTGGTGAAGCCAGGGAATAGCGGCCTGTGTTTTCATTCTGACATTTCCCGTGCTCCTTTCTCATTTCTAGAGGACTGCATAGCTTAGAAACATTCAGGCCTCAGGGCAGAGAGCTGGCAGTGGGGTGCTCTCCCTTCCCCCTGCCCCTGACCTCAAGGCCCTGCCTGCCTGCCTGCCTGCCCAGCTCTGCCTCCCGGAGAGCCCCCTCCCTCAGGCACTGAGAGAGAGAGAGAGAGCCCCCCGGCCTCAGAAACCACAGGGTGGCCCCTCACCCTGCCAGATGACACAGACCAGAGGGACCCCTGCAGCATCGGGTGGCCCAGGCTGGAGGAGGACCCGCACGCTGCCCTCAAGGGGCCAGAGTCCTGATTGCTTTTAGACTGGAGAGGCTGGGTGCAGGTGGCAGAGCTGCCCTCATGCAGCAGCTGCCTGGGCACAGGCTGCAGGGTGGCCTCGGCCTCCACGCACCTCACCGCACCTCCGGTC